AGCCGAAGCCGAGCCGAGCGAGCGACGACGACGACGGCGCGAGGCTTGCTTTCTTCTTAACTCTTTAAGAGCTACAAGAAGAGCAATTATATATATACCCACCAAAAATGTCTTCCACTTCCAATATGGGACAATGTCTCATTGTTAAGAGGGGGAAACTTAAAATTTTACTCAAAATTTCATTTTCCCTCCATTTCCCATTCACCCTCATTTTAAGAATATTACATCTTAAAAAATAAAACCTCAACATTAATATCAGTAGTAATTTGTGGCAACCTAACAATCAATTATTTACCAACTACAATAACAACAACAATCCTAACTACAATAACAACAACAATCCTAAAAGTGAGGTCCGAAAAAGGGATAAAGATAGAAATACTATTCCCGATAAACCGTCACCATTTATTCACTAGCTAGAACAACAAAAATCTAATCACTTGCCTTGGATGAAATTAGCAAATCGCTTAATCAGATCTCTAGCTTTCTCAGTTTCAGGATCCAATATAAAAAAAGAATGACCTTCCCCTTCAACCACAAAAAACACAAACTCTCCATTCCATCCACTTTTCTTGACACCTTCGACAAATCGCATCTCCATTTCACCAGGAGCCAATTCATCTTTCTCAGCAAGACACACAAACAACTTGGAACAACCTAGTCCAGACAAACTAGGAGCCATTTTACAAAGAGGATTAATCATGGGACAATCAAGCGGTTCTAATTTTGGACAAATAACATTTGTCCATAACTTATAAACCATCAAATTCTTCACATCAACATTTTCATATGGGATCACAAAATAAGGACAAGCAAGAACTGAACCACAAATTTTAACATCACCATTTAACTTTTCTCTACCAGCTCTCATAACCATGTTAAAAACAATATTAGCTCCACCACTTTCCCCAACTATAAATATTTTATTAAAATCACCATAATTTGTTAACCACAAATCTTTTCCACTAGCCACCCATTGAAGAGCAGTCCAAGAATCTTCATAAACTGTTGTCACATCATGTTCTGGTGCTAATCTGTATTCAACAGAGACAGCAATTGAATTGGATTCAGAAACCAAGAGATTAAGGAAACGATGAAACACATTAAAGAATGCTGAATTAAGAATGAGTCCACCACCATGGTAAAATACTATAATTGGGAGTTTTTTTTGGTCTGAAGAGTTTGTGTTTTTAGGTAAATAAAGCCTAGCAGAAACGTGAGAAGAGATAGTGATGTCTTTAGAGGAAACACCAGTATCTGGATCTTGATCTGGTGAAGATGGAACGTAGAATAAGTTGTGTAAATGGTAGAAACGTTCAACGCGGCCGTTTTTGTAGACTCGGATATGGGGATAGAGATCAGTGACAATTTCATTATCTTCACTAGCCATTTTGCAGCAGAGTGATTAGAAGATTTGTTAAGTATATATATGGCCGTAGAAAATAGTAGAAACAAATGGATATCTACAAGAAAAGAATTCACAGGAAAATGAGACCAAGATATCTTTCCCTTGCAATTCGAAATAGGGAAGAAGTCATCTATTTATAGGGAGGTTTTCTAACAATAAATATATGGTTTGAAATGTTTGACTAATTAAAAAATAAAAAGTCACTTATTATCTTTTTGCAAATTTATAGGAGCTTTAAATAAGTAAGACATGTAGATAAAGATTTATAAAAGTTAGTTTGGACAATGTTTTTGATTAAAGTTATTAAATGTTATTCAGTGTGTAATTAGAGGACCAAGGATAGAGGTTTCAAAACCGACACCTTTTAGTTATTTGTCCAACCCTCAAGTATAAACTTAAATTATGACCTGTTCGTTGAATTGATCCAACGGGTTGAATTTGAAATAACCTATCAAAGCTATTGGGTTAAACTAATATTAATAAAATATGTAATACAAATTCAAATATATTAAAATTAAATTATGAAATTAGGAGTACTGTAACATAAATGAACTTAAGTTGAAATAATTGACTGTACACACATTAAACTTCACATTCTTTTTTCAAAAAGCAAAATTAGAAAAAAGGAGTGAATGATTGAAGTTAGATTATAATCCATTATTCGACTTCATCCTGAACAACTTATTTCGGCCAAACAAATTTTAAACGGGTTAGATTATGATCCATTTTATTGATTTAGGCTCAACTTTAATTCGCCTCCCTCATTTGCCGACTCTAGTCGGTGTAGTATAACCTAATGAAAATAGAGCCCCATTCTCTTCGTTTTAAATGCCCGGTTACCTAATATAGAGTGGTCCCTGTTTTTCTTGTTTGCGTGTTTTACCTTTTGTGCTTTGTCCTCTCTGCCTATTTTTATTTTCTAGAAGGTCTAATTTCCGTGTGAATGTAAAGACACCAATTTTATGAGTAACCTTTTATTACTCCCTTTTCCTTTGTTTCAATTTATGTGAACTTGTTTGATCGGATACGGAGTTTATAAAAAAATTAAAAAATTTTAAAATTTATGGTCCTAAACAAGTCAAAAGGGGTCCAGAGTATTTGTGTGGTTATAAAAGCTTCTCATTAAGGGTAGAGTTGGAAGTTTAAGCTAAATTATTTCCAAATTTAAAAAGGAATCATTCTTTTTGAAATGGATCAAAAAGGAAATAGGTTCATATAAACTGGAACAGACGGAGTATCAGTTATTTTCTTCCTCTTACATTAATGCCTCTTGACTTGCCTAAGAAGTTTAAGTTAGTTGGCGTCTCTACGGTCTTAGGTCAATTTGAAGTATACCTGTTAATCGGGCCGGGCTGATCCGTTTACAACCCGGTACTGTAGCGTGGGGCGGGCTGGGACGGGTTGGGCGGGGAGCGGGTTTCAAACAAACAGTTTTTTGATACCGGTGCACCGGAACCCGCTAAGCCCGTTAACCCGTTAATGGGTTGTTAACGGGCTACAGCCAGGTTCAGCCCGATTTTTAACATTTTTTTTTAAATTTTTTTTTTTGACCGTTGCCAACGGTCAAATTCAAATATGACCGTTGGCCAACGACCCTTTTTTTGCAGAAATGGCCATTTCGGCCTACCCTTTAAGAAAATAGCCCCCACACCCCTAGTATTTGATAAATTATAATTTTAACCTTTTAAAAACTATAAATAGCCCTCCTTCTTCTTCATTTTTCCTCACAATTCACTCTCTTACTACTCTAATTCTCTCTTGATATTATTGCTTATTGTTCTTAAATTCTCAATTACTTATTATTTCAAATTTCATCAAATATTTAGTTTAGTCATTACAAAATTATTATTATCAAATATCAAGTATTCAAGTAAAGTGTGGTATCAACTATCAAGTATCGATCTATCAATTGAAGTTTGGTTTTTGATATCAAATTTAGTGCGGCATCCGGAATCTCGGTACACTCGTTCTATATCTTTCTCTTCTTTGGTGTACATTTATTTTATTATTTACAATTATTAATTTAATTTATATAATGAATATATTTAGAGCAGCCAAAAAAGCATGCACTAGTAGATGTGGTAGTAAGAAAACTTTCAAAAGATCAAGAGGTGGTGCTTATTCTTCTAGTAGCTTTACACATATTTCTGAAAGTTCACGTAAAAAATTAAATGTAGATTATGAGAGACTTCAAGAAAATTATGGTATAGATTATGATTTAGATGATAATTTAGATGATATTCCATTTTCATCACCTGATAATCTTGAAACACCACCAGCTATACCTGGTAATGCTAGTCAAACTCAAAATATTAGGGGTGGAAGTCGTGGTAATACAAGTAGGCATCCCCTCCCTATTAAGAAGAATCGAAGATTAAGAAGTAAGTGTTGGAATTTTTTTGACAGACTAGAAGAAGATAAAAATTATGTAAGATGTATAATTTGTAAGGATATTTATAAACATGAGACCAGTAAGGGAGGGAGAACGGGTCAACTTCGTAGGCACATGATAGACAATCACCCTCTTGATTGGGGAGTAGATGAGGAAGATGGGCAACAAAAACTTAACCCGGGTACTTGAGGGTTAATGGGTAAATACAATATTTAGAAAAATCGGGAAGAATTAGCTAAAATGATTGTTTTAGGTTGTTTGCCTTTTAGTTTTGCTGCTTCACCATATCTTGTTACTTATATTCAAAGAATTTATAACCCTTTGTTTAAAGGTATTCCTAGAAGTACTTGTAGAGCTGATATCTTTAGGCTTTTTGGACAATATCAGACATATATACGTTATTTGTTCGCCAGTCTTTCTTGTAGAATTTCTCTTACTTCTGATATTGGTCGTGCTGTAAATGGTAATGATTATTTNAGCTGATATCTTTAGGCTTTTTGGACAATATCAGACATATATACGTTATTTGTTCGCCAGTCTTTCTTGTAGAATTTCTCTTACTTCCGATATTGGTCATGCTGTAAATGGTAATGATTATTTAACTGTTACATGCCATTGGATAGATGGTAATTTTTGTATGCAAAAACGTATTATTGCTTTTGAATATGATAAAGATCAAAGTCATACTGGTGCATTTATAAGTAATACTATCCATGAAGTTGCTATATTTTATAATCTTGCAGAAAAAAGTTTTGTGTGTGTTATTTGATAATGCTTCTAACAACAATGCTGCTATTACAATATTAAAATTGCATCTACACCCACCACTTTCTGAAATATTTCATGTTATATGTGCATGTCATATTTATAATTTGATTGTGAAGAGTGGCCTTGAATTATTTAGAGATGATATCACTTTAGTTAGAAGAGCTATTGGTGTAATTCGAGAAAATAATATAAGTGCTAGATTAAATACATTTAAAGAAAAATATATACACTATGGACTAAAACCAAAACTCATGCCTGAAGTAATAGTTACTAGGTGGAATTATACTTATTTATTCATTAAATGTTGTTATAAATATAGAATGCCTATAACTGAAGTTGCTAATTCTCATTGTACCGATCCTAGCCGTTTGTTAACATTTAGAACTTGGGATGTCATTGAAGATTGTAAAGTTTTTACAAAAATTTTATGTGGCTACATTTGAGTTTTCTGGAGCTTATTATCCTACTATTGCAAATGGTTTAGTTCATATTGATGAAATTTCTCTTTTACTACATAATTTGAAGAAGAAAGAAGGATATACTTCTGTTGTTGAATCTATGCTAGATAAGTTTAAAAAATATTTTTACCCAATTCCCCCTATTTACCTAATTGGTGCTATTTTAAACCCTTCTATCAAAATGGCCACTTGTCGCCAATTAATCACTGCTTTATATTCTTATATGGATATTGGACCAACTGAAACTCCTGATATTGACACTTGTATTTCTAATCTACACAAATATTTAGAAATGTTATATAATTATTATGCTAACATTGTTGATGCTTCTTCTGCTGTAGATGCAAATATTCCTTCAAGTTCAGTTTCAACATCTGGGACCAGTGCTTTGGATGATATTAATGGTGTTGAAGATTATTTGATTTGGTCTACAATAGGGGAGCATCAACAAACCAGTAGCAGGAATATTGATGAACTTCAATTCTACTTGCAAAAGTCAGCAGAGCCCCGCACAAAGAAATTTTTACCACTGGGTTGGTGGAGGAGCAACTCAAATCAATTTCATGTTCTTTCGGCCATGGCTCGAGACGTGCTAAATGTGCCGATTTCAACAGTCGCATCAGAGAGCGCATTTAGCTAAGCAAGGCAGCAACTAGGAGATACCTGTCATTCATTTGGAAATTCTAGTGTATTTCAGAGATTGGATAAGATTAGAACGACGAAATCAAGGGCGTGACGAGGTAGATGAAGTGGAGGACCAAGAAATTAGAGATATAATGGTTTATGGTTCTTATTCAACCAATGCCGAAAATCAAGAACCTCATATTGACATGGATGAACTTACAAAAATGATGCAAAACATGTGATGTACTATTTCTTTTTTTTTTTTTTTTTTTTTTTTTTTTTTTTTTTTTTTTTTTTATAATTGTTGTAAATTTTTAATTTGCAAGTTCAAAAATAACAAAATCAAAAAAGAACTTGCAACTTAATTTGAAGTATTATATATTATTCAATAAAAATATCAAATGAAAGTTTTCGAAACTTGATCCTTATATATTCCCTATTAGTTTTATTAAATAATTTTTTGTAGCCACTTACTTTTAAATTTCAATTTTAAAATTATTAAATTCAAATTTCAAATCTAAAATTTTAAACTTTAAAGTTTAATTCTAACCCTTAAAAGTTTGCAAACACTTAAGTATCAATAACATTAAATAAGAAAAATAAAATTTACTTTAAAAAAAAAAATTCACGGCCCGCTAACAACCCGCTAACAGCCCGCTAATAACCCGCTAAGCCTGAGCCCGGATGGACAAAAAAAACCCGAAAAAGTACAGCCTGCTAACATCCCGCAACGTTAAACGGACGGGCTAATTTTTTTTTGTGTTCAGCCCATTCCAGCCCCGCCCGTTAAACACCTATAATTTGAAGCCATACTAAGCAAGACTATGGTGCTATCATATTATGTATTTGTACCGCGATTATTGTGTGCAGGCCG